AAAGCGTGAAACAGAGAAACTAATTGCTATAAAAAATGCCAAAGGTAAAATTAATTAGGACAAATATCATTACAATGTCTGCAATGTATATATCTAACTAGGATTAAAGAACTCAAAGGAATGTATGTTCGCTTTTGACAGAAGATTTGGATCTGGTATATTTATGCGTTCTGGGGCCTTATCCAAAGGATTGTCTCACATTAACCCTTCATTATACAAACCCCTTGTTTGCATACTCACTATTCTTTGCTGGGATCCTTTATTGTGATGACCTTTCTGTGCCCAAGTATACTGGTGCCATGAACCTGCTCTTTCAAGCCTAATACATCTGTTGACATAAAAAATATACCACAACATAATTTATGATTATATTTGCATGTGTACTGCAAATATTGACAATTAATGTGCTTATAGCACTGGTTACTACAATATTACAAATAATTATATAGAGCAGTGGTTCTCAACCTTCCTAATGCTGCGACCCTTTAATACAGTTCCTCATGTTGTGGTGACCCCCAACCATAAAATTATTTTCGTTGCTACTTCATAACTGTAATTTTGCAGTGAGAGGAGTAGTGCCACATCACTGATGTCAGTGGGAGGAATAGTGCCACATTGTTGGTGTCAGTGTGGGAGGAATAGTGCCCCATCATTGGTGTCAGTGGGGGGGGGGGGAATAGTGCCCCATCATTGATACTAGTGTGGGGGGGATTTGTGCCCCATCATTGGTGTCAGTGGGGGGAGGAATAGTGCCCCATCGATGGTGTCAGTGGGGGGAGGAATAGTGCCCCATCATTGGTGTCAGTGGGGGGAGGAATAGTTCCCCATCATTGGTGTCAGTGGGGGGAGGAAATAGTGCCCCATCATTGGTATTAGTGACACCAATGATGGGGCACTATTTCTCCCACTGACACCAATGATACTTACCTTGCTGACCCCTGCTCCAGCCTGGGCTCGCTCCCTCCCTCCCTCCCTCTCCCATCTACAGCCAGCATACCTGGCTGCAGCAGCACCATCTGCACGCTACAGACACTTACCTGTCATCTGTCTTCCTTCTCCGGCCGCTCCCTCACTCGATCTTCTTTGATCTTCGCGCTGCTGCTCGGCTCCACCTCTCCAAGCTCAACCTCCTCGCCATTGATTGGCCGCCTGTGTGCCTCTCCTGAGCTACATTTCCGGCGGCCAATCACTGGCGAAGAGGCGGAGCTGTTGAGTGATCCCGGGGATGTGGCCAGATGACAGGGGTGGCATGTCATCCCGCGCACACATCGCGGTCCAGGGAAATGTGGACGTATCTGCATGTGGGCAGACCCGCCTGGAGACTGATAGAGGAGCGGTGTCTCGGTTCCTAAGACCATTGGAAATATGTGTTTTCTGATGGTCTTAGGGGACCCCTGCGAAAGGGTTGTTCGACCCCCAAAGGGGTTGTGACCCCCAGGTTGAGAACCGCTGATATAGAGGTTCATGCAATGAATAGCATACAGAAGGCAATAAAAACCTGATATCAGTTCTCTCCTTTACCCATTATATATTGACTTAAACAATACATTTTGGCTGGAGTTCTACATTAGATACTTTAAAAAAATTACAGGTTTAGATATTTTTACATAATTACATTGGTTCGGCTTGATCCAATGTAACTATGCATATACCATACTAGATCCCTCTAGAATCTGGAAATCACTGTAGTAGGAATCCACTAGCTTCTAGGTTCTACATTCGAAGCAGCTGCCCTGCTGCATTGTGAAAACAGAAGGTCACCAGCTTGGCACGGGTGCCATTCAAAGATCCCTTTACATGTTCTCAGTAAATGCCAAGCTTTCTCTGACTGGACAAGGTGCAGAGGTAGGCCAGTGACATCCACCTTGTCCAACCAGAAAATACTTTGCATTCATTGAGAAAAGTGATCTCTGAACGGCACCCGTGCCCAGCGGGTGACCTCCTGTGTTCCCAATGCAGCAGGGCAACCCCTCAGCACAGGAGCTAGTAGAGATCATGGAAGTAGAAGTATCTACCACAGAGAGATTTTTCGCAGGTATGGTATGTACACCCAAGTTCACCCAAACTGGACCAATGTAACTACCGTATGTAAAAATATCTATACCTGGAATTCATCTTTATGGTAGCAAAAGGACCAGCCCATTCTAGTACTCTAAAATAAACGCGTGAATTAATGCTGTTTTGTATTCATTAAAATAAAGAAATGTATTTCTAAATGCAGCTAGTACCTGGATTTTACTTTGAATGAACCTTTTGTAATTCCCTGTACAGCAACATGTATGCTAAAGGGAGGAGCAGCATCAGAAGCCAATCAGGTGTCTGCATTGTAACTTATTTAACCACTTGGCCTCCAGAGGATTTACCCCCCTTAATGACCAGGCCTCTTTTTGCTACTCGGCGCTGCACTAATTCAACTGATAATTGCACGGTGATGCAATGCTGCACCTAAACGAAATTTACGTCCTTTTTTTCACACAAATAGAGCTTTCTTTTGGTGTAATTTGATCACCTGTGCGCTTTTTATTTTTCACGCTATAAACAAATAAAGGCCAAGAATTTTGAAGAAAAACAATATTTTTTACTTTCAGCTATAAAAAATATATAGTAAACTCAAAGTTGGTTATAAATTTAGGCCAAAATGTATTCTGCTCCATGTTTTTGGTAAAAAAAATCCCAATAAGTGTATATTGATTGCTTTGTGTGGAAGTTATAGCGTCTACAAACTATGGTATAGATACTGCAATTTACGCCATTTTTCTGCTATACAGCGCTGCGCTAGTTTAACGGACAATTGCCCGGTCATGCAATACGGTACATAAATGAAATTTACATCCTTTTTTTTCCCCACAAATTGAGCTTTCTTTCGGTGGTATTTGATTGCCTGTGCGGTTTTTATTTTTTGCGCTATAAAAAAAAAGGCTGACAATTTTGAGGAAAAAAAACAATATTTTGGACTTTTTGCTATAAAACATGTCCAGTAAAAAAAAAATTAAAAATCAAATTTAGTCATAAATTTCTGCCAAAATGCATTCTGCGACATGTCTTTGCTAAAAAAAAAACCCCAATATGTGTAAATTCATTGGTTTACGTGAAAGTTATAGCGTTTACAAATAGTAGGAAAGATACTGGGATTTTTTTTTTATACTAATAATGGCGGCGATCAGTGACTTATGGCGGCGATCAGCGACTTATGGCGGGACTGCGGGACTGCGGCGGACATTCTGACATTGGGGTGTACTGACTTGGGGTCACTGACATTCCCTGTGACACCAATACAGTGATCAGTGCAAAAAAAAAAAACACTGACACTGTTAAATGGCACTGGGGAGGAAGGGGGTTAAGTTTATTATTCAGGGAAAGGGTTATCTGTGTGAGGGGAGTGTTTTAGTAGGGGGCGGGGTGTGTACTGGATGGGGACAGGTTGATCGGGAGAGAGAAACTCTTCTGTCCCGATCAGTGTGTCCTCGAGCTGTCAGGGAAGTGACAGAAAGCACAGCTACTGCAGCTGTGCTCTCTGTCACTGAATGCCGCCAATCGCCGGGAGATAGCCGGTAAGGACCGGGCTGTGACCCGGCCACTGACATCCGTGGCTGTGATCAGCGGGACAGGTAGGGCGGCAGACGCGCCTCGCGCGTGCCCCCTACCTGTTTATAAAACACACGTTTTAAAACGTGGTTTTGCCTGCCCATGCCGCCCTGCCGCCGTATTTATACAGTAGCTGGGCAGCATGTGGTTAACAAAGAACATGCTGATTGGAGGATAGAACAGAAAGCTGACTTTTATATTCTGTTGTATTTTTAATGTATTGGATGTATTTTTTAGTTTTTAGGAAAGTTATAGAGTTCACAATCTATGGTATAGATCTGAATATTGATCAATCCTGAAGTACTGACAGCCAATCTAATTTCTTGAGGTCAAAGAATGTCAGGAAAGTACAGGTATCCCCCAAATGTCAGAACAGTACAGATATCCCCCAAATGTCAGAACAGTACAGATATCCCCCAAATGACCCCTTTTTGTAAAGTAGACAGTCCGACGTATTTCAAATGAAAAAATTTTAAAAATAATTTTCACTATTTTTTTTACATACTGTCACCAGTGCAGTACAGCGTCATCATATAACTGGCATGGCGGTGATCGGGGACTCTGACTGGTGACAGTATGAAAAAAAAAAAATATAATTTTTTAAATTTTTTTTTATTATTGTTAATTTTTTATTAAATTTTTTTCTTTTTTTTTAAAGATTTTTTTTCATATTTCACTATGACCAAAGTAGTACAATGTTACCATAGTAACATTGCACTACTTTGGGGAAGTGATCAGTATTTTTTTTTAATACAATTTGCATATAGCAAAGAATTACTTTGCTATAAGCAAGCATTTACCTGAATGACATCGATTCATTCAGGGTTTTTTTTTTTGTGCTTAGCTGTGATTTGGCCACGGCTAATCACATGACATGTGCATGGGATTAGCTGTGACCATTCATAGCTAGACACTAGTATACAATGGATGGCATGAATGAAGCCATCCATTGTATACAACTGTCATGTGACCTGCTGTGATTGGTCACAGCAGGTCACATGGTACCCACCAACGGGGCCGGTACTCAGATCTGTCATCGGCCGTATCCGTGGTACACGGCCTGCTCTGCAGGAGTGCAATCTGCGCATGCCCAGGAGAATGCCATATGGCGTCCACCCGGAACGCTGAAGGATTTTGCCGGCCGCCAAATGGCCATTGGCCGGGCGGCTAATGGTTAATTGGGCAACTATGGGGCAGATAAGGCAAACCCTTTTTTTTTCCATTTTGGATCGAGTAAGGGAGGTTTAAAACCCCTGTCAGGTTTTTTTTTTTTTTTTTACCATCTGTTTCCCATTGGGGGGATTTTCCTTTATATTCCTGTCCTATAGCCAAAACAGGAAGTGAGAGGAAATCCCTCCAAAGTGAAAGGAAATCTGACGTGTCACCAGGGTCACCAAAATCAGTGTACCCATTAGAAGATTCTGGAATCATCCCAAAGTTTGGGATTTTATTTCGATGATAACTATAAAAGTCTGACAGATAGAGAGGGTGAATCTCCCTGATGGGGGCACAGACAGCAATAAAAGTGAAGAGAAACAACCTACACACAGGCTATAGTGTAGTATGCTAAAAACAATATGTATTTATTTTGTAGAGAAAAAAAGATGCACTCACAAACACACCAATAAGCAGAGCATAAAATGACCAAGGGAACAGGTAGCTAGTGTGGTTATGATCAGAGAACTGTGATGGGCTGCACTACCGGGCTTTTTCACATGTGAGGTTGAGGGTGGTAAAAGCTTTCGGTTGTCTGTCAATTTTACCACCTCTCAACAGCTATCCCCTTTAGCTGCAGAGGCAGCTGCCGGGGGTGTATACATGTTGCGGCTATGATGCTTTGCATCACAGCTGTGGCAGGAATGGTACTTTCTGTACTCCTGCTGATCGTGACCCATTCAAGTGAATGCGGATATTGGTGTGGGTTCCAAGGGGTAATGCCTCCTCACTGTCTGTCAAAGGCTCACTGAAGAGGGATATGAACATGAATGGCGCTTCTGAGAGTATCACACATGTGAACAAGTCCTTATAGTGACACTGGGACTGCTGTGGCAGTGATCAGAGACAATATGACTGCTGCAGTGGTGATTGCGGATACTGTAACTGATGTAGCGGTGATCACAGATTTTTTTGATTGAAAAGATACTTTTATTGCAGAAGCATCAAAAACAACATGTTACGTGTAATCGGGGTACATCTCACCCTGTACTGCGACGCAGCGCACCACATAGCAATACAGTTCCAAACATACGATAAATACATTCAGGCAAATAAATACATTCGCTCAGCGGTATGATGCCTGACGTGATGTGCACAGAGGATGAATCCCCCGGATAACCACGTCATGCATGACGCCGCTTACCCCAAAAACTGTAGCATCCTAATACAATATACATTTCCTAGTCTCTATGTCATGCACGAAAACGATAACTGAAAAAACACTATCAACAATAGGCATCGGGTGTGTGGGGGGGGGGAAGGGGAGGGAAGGGGGAAACACAGGCCCGAAGCTTTATTGAAGGGACAAAGACACGCAAGGGGGAGTACTGGGAAGGGGGAAAGCGGTGATCACAGATACTGTAACTGGTGTGACAGTGATCACAATTTTTTATTTTTTTACAATTAATTTTATGTACTTTCCAGGGGCGGACTGACCATTTGGGAACTCGGGCAGTGCCCGAGGGCCCGGGGTCAGTAGGGGACCCCATGAGATGCCCCTGATACCTTTAATAGGCTTTTTTGGGTGTGGTTTGAGTGTGAGTGAGGACACAGGGGCCCCTTGATCCCCTATTGCCCGGGGACCAAAGTAGTACAATGTTACCATATTAACATTGTACTACTTTGGGGAAGTGATCAGTATTTTTTTTTTTATACAATTTGTATATAGCAAAGAATTACTTTGCTATAAGCAAGCATTTAACTGAATGACATCGATTCATTCAGGGTTTTTTTTTTTGTGCTTAGCTGTGATTGCGGATACTGTAACTGATGTAGCGGTGATCACAGATACTGTAACTGGTGTGACAGTGATCACAATTTTTTATTTTTTTACAATTATTTTTATGTAATTTCCAGGGGCGGACTGACCATTTGGGAACTCGGGCACTGCCCGAGGGCCCGGGGTCAGTAGGGGGCCCCGTGAGATGCCCTGATACCTTTAATAGGCTTTTTTTGGGTGTGGTTTGAGTGTGGGTGAGGACACAGGGGCCCCATGATCCCCTATTGCCCGGGGGCCCCATGAATTGTCAGTCCGCCCCTGGTACTGTCACCAGAGTACTGCAGTGTCATCGTAGTGACACTACTACTTTGGGGGGGTGATCAGGATTTTTCTTACACTGTTATTGCTTGTTACAGTGGTGATCACTGTAACAATAATCATTTATCTATCATGAATCTTGTTTACTATTGTGATGCTGTGATTGGCCACAACTATCACATGGTACAAGGCTGCTGTGATTGGCCCTGTACACCATGTGATCATTGTGACCATTCACAAGATCACAATAGTAAGCTGTAACGGAACCGATCCAGACTGCTCTTGAGTACTTCCATTAGAATACCGTTTCCCCGTCTGAACACTGACAACAGACACCACAGCTGACCATACAAGACTAGATGACACCAGTCTTGAGGTAAACCAGGAGGTAGACTAGTTTATTTGAACACAGATACAAGATATATACACTTAGGGAACAATCCCCGCTCCCTGCATAATGACACAGGGCGGGGCAATCTACATTTAGTAACAAGAGACACTCAGGTATTAAAACTTCACACCAGCAGACAGTCCCATCAGGAGGGTGGGCTGCTGGAGACACCCCCCCCCCCAAGCTAATACACATAAACACAAACATCCCATAATAGTTTGCTCCCAAGCCAGACAAACAATAGGACAATGGGATACAACCACATGACATTAAACAATCAACAACCCCCACACAATATTAGGACAGATCACCCTGTACCCCTAACAGGCACAGGGTGATTTACACATAGGAAGGATATGGGGAGCTGAGACAGGGGTCTCCCCACCTCTCCAAAGTGAGCTGGGTTCCATGGGCCCCCCACCCAAAGTAACTCCCGTCACATAAGCAAGCTGTCATGAATGAAAGCCATTCATGACTGTTGCTTACGTGTGATAATGTGATTGCTGTGATTGGTCACAGTGATAACATGGTACCTGGGCCAGACACAGTGGCCTGGTACCGATCACTCTGTTCTGCTGTGTCTGGTGAACACAGTGGAAACAAATCATGTCATTGCTTGGATAAGGAAGCTCCTGCCTGGCCTTCATTTTACAATAGACTGGGTGGGGAGTTAAAAGAAGCTAGGTCGTTCCTATATGCACAAAATATAACTGAATATTAACATTTATAGGTAATAACACCAGAGACTTTACCCAGGGAATATCCTATTGCTTCCTGCAGGGATCAGAAAGGAATTTTCTCCCTCGCTGGAGCAAAGCGGACCATGCTTCAGAGAGGAGGGGGGGGGGGTTCACCTTCTCTTTATGGATCAACTGTGGGTATAAGGTTGTGTATATGGAGGTTTAATATTTTTTTTTTTTTTTCTCTATTGGATAAACAAGATGGACTTTTTCTCTTTTTTCAACCTGACTTGCTAACCATGCAAGCTAATCTAATTGTGCTCACTCCCCCCCCCCCCCCCACACACACACACCTTTCCCTAAACCATCACCCTTTACACATATACATTCATTCAACTAATGTCTTCACAATACCAATGCCATGTTACATCATCCTGGGAATGGTGAAACATAAATAAATCTAAACATATTTCTCAGACACCTCGGTCCATTTCTTCAAGTGAAAAGCAATATTATTTATCAAAAACTGTTGTGAAGAAATTATATAATAAACGGGAGCTGCTAAAAAACTTCAATGAGCAAACACAGGGGCAACCAAAGACACCACTAACTAGTAATCCTCCTTTTCAGGATCACTGATTCTTACAGGTGCATCTCAATAAATTAGAATATCAAAAAGTAATTCAATTCAAAAAGTGAAACTCATATACAGTTGCAAGAAAAAGTATGTGAACCCCTTGGGATTACGTGGAGTTTTGCATGAATTGGGTATAAAATGTGCTCTGAACGTCATCTAAGTCACAACAATAGAAGAACACAGTCTGCTGAACATAATACTACACAAACATTAGATGTTGCCATGGTTTAATTGCACATAACATGTAAACATTCACAGTGCAGGGAGGAAAAAGTATGTGAGGCCCTAGCTTAATGACTTCTCCCAGAGCTAATTGGAGCCAGGAGTGAAGCAATCTTGACTCCAATCAGTGTGATGATATTGGATGTGTTGCTGACAGCTGTCCTGCCCTTAAAAAACACACACCTGTTTTGGGTTTACTGGTTTTCAAGAAGCACTGTCTGATGTGAACCATGCCTCGCAGAAAAGAGCTCTCAGAAGACCTACGATCAAGAATTGTTGACTTGCATGAAGCTGGAAAGGGTTACAAAAGTATCTCCAAAAGCCTTGATGTTCATGTATCCACGGTAAGACAGACTGTCTACAAATGGAGAAAGTTTAGCTCTGTTGCTACTCTCCCTAGGCGTGGTCATCCTGTAAAAATGACTGACTGCAAGAGCACAGCGCAGAATGCTGCATGAGGTAAAGAAGAATCCCAGAGTGTCAGCTAAAGACCTACAGAAATCTCTGGCACATGCTAACATTTTTGTTGACACATCTACAATAAGGAAAAAATTAAACAAGAATGGAGTACATGGGAGGACACCACGGAGGAAGCCATTGCTGTCCAAAAAGAATATTGCAGCACGTTTGAAGTTTGCAAAAGAGCACCTGGATGTTCCACAGCACTACTGGCAAAATATACTGTGGACAGATGAAACCAAGATTGAGTTGTTTGGGAAGAACACACAACACTATGTGTGGAGAAAAAAAGGCCCAGCACACCAACATCAAAACCTCATCCCCACTGTAAAACATGGCGGAGGGAGCATCATGGTTTGGGGCTGCTTTGCTGCCTCAGGGCCTGGATGGATTGTTGTCATTGATGGGAAAATGAATTCCAGAGTTTATCAAGACATTTTGCAGGAAAACGTACGACCATCTGTCCGCCAACTGAAGCTCTGCAGAGGATGGGTGATGCAACAGGACAATGACCCAAAGCATACAAGTAGTTCAACAAAACAATGGCTGCAACAGCACAGAATACGCCTTCTGGAGTGGCCCAGTCAGAGTCCTGACCTCAACCCGATTGAAATGCTTTGGCATGACCTTAAGAGAGCGATTCACACCAGACATCCCAAGAATATTGCTACACTGAAACAGTTTTGTGAAGAGGAGTGGTCCAAAATGACTCCAGATCGTTGTGCAGGTCTGATCTGCAACTACAGGAAACGTTTGGTTGAGGTTATTGCTGCCAAAGGAGGGTCAACCAGTTAAGTCCAAAGGTTCACATACTTTTTCCTCCCTGCACTGTGAATGTTTACATGTTATGTGCAATTAAACT